TTTTTTTTTTTTTTTTTGATAAGGGGGACTAAAAAAACGAAAAGAAAAAGAGAGGGAATGGGTAGAAGAAAAACACACGATCAACAACTCTCATTGAAATCACCAATGATGAGGATCGTGTGTTTTGACTGCCGATAAGCCGCTAACTCGCGCCTTGAATCGCCGATAGTGTTTCTCTAGCCACAACCGCGCCTATTGAAACGAATGAAATTGCAGTAGTATTTTGGTGAAAAGACTAAAGCAAAGTTGGAAGAACAAAGTTCTGGATTTCTATTAATTCTTGAATGATTAAAAATAACATGGGTTAAGGGCCTTTATATAGGCACAAGATTTGTCTAAGTCTAATCTACATAGGAAAATAATAAAGCAATAAAATATTAGGAATCCTAACAAGCTAGAAAATTTAATGCTAGTTGGAAACTAAATATCTTGGTTTGCACACCAAGTCTTCAAACCGCCTCAACCCTCGTTCTCTCGCGCACGCCGCCTCGTCCAACCGCCTCGCACGCCCTAGTCCTTGAGGACTAGGGCACCGCCTTCCGCGCGTGCCTCGTCACCCGGCGTGGCCAGCACGCCAGCGCCTTGCGCGCCTGCCCCATGCGCGTGACCTGCCGCCAGTCCGCATTCCTCAAGAAGTGGGGTTTCGCGCCCCGCGCATACTCGTGCGTCGTCCGTGTTTCTCGCGTGCTGCTCCGCTGTGCTCGACATGCGCGCGTCTTCGCTAGTCGCCCGTGTTTCGCTCGCGCACGCCAACCGTGCATACCCGCTGGCCAGCCCCTGCTCGCCCATCACGCATGCAATTTGTGCGTGTTCGTTCTCGCTCATTACCAGGCCATTTTCGCACCCCTCCCACGGACTATGCTCAAGTGCGCGCATTTCTGCCGTCACTCGCGCTTGTCTTTTGCGCGCATGGTAGGCCCGACTGGCGGCGTTCTTGAGCTGCCTAGCCACTTCCGCATCAACGCGCCCCAGCGCACCCGGTGAGCCCAACAGCGTGATGAGGATCGTGTGTTTCGACTGCCGATAAGCCGCTAAACCGCGCCTTGAATCGCCGGTAGTGTTCTTCGAGCCACAACCGCGCCTCTTGGAACGAATAAAATTGTAATAGTATTCGGGTGAAAAGACTAAAGCAAAGTTGGAAGAACAAAGTTCTAGATTTCTATTGATGTCTTGAATGATGAAAAATAACATTGGGTAAGGGCATTATATCTAAGCCTAATCTACCTAGGGATCAAATAAAGCAATAAAATATTAAGTATCCTAAACAATCTAGATCTCATAATGTAAGATGGGAACA